CTAGAGTCAATATGAGGAAAGGAGTTCATAGAGTGATATAGGTTTGACTTTAGGTAAGTCCTGATTCGTTCACGTCAGTATGCGTAATGTAGTATGTAAAATCAGTGTTCAGTGTATGCCGGTATCATTAAAACTAGCTGTGATGTGACAACGGCAGTGAACCGCCTTTCGAAGAAGCACGATCAGCAGTGACTCAAAATAATACTTGGATGAACTGCAAAAAAAGAGCCAATGGTGCAGTCACAAAATTATTTCATCGTGTAATGAAGCGATTTGTAATATCTTACGCATGATAAAAACAGGAGAGCACGATGCTTTTTTGGGAAAAAAGAGAAAAAAAAGAAAAAAATGAAAAGACCGACTGAAAAGAATTGATGACGACGTGGTGAAGGACTCTTTTTGCCTAAATCATATCAATATCGTTGTCTCCCTGATCTAAGAACAACAGAGCTAGAATAACCCAACAGAGCAGCCAAAATTTATGATCTGGCCATTAGAATACTAACCCATACATCTGTAGCTGCAACGCATATACAAAACGGCTACGTTGTTTGCTAACAAGCTATTCGACGGCATACCTTCAGACACGTCTTTTTCATTTTCGACCGAACTAGCAGGGCGAGAAGGCGGCTTTTGCTTTTCAGCGGCCACAGCTTGATGGGTCTTCTTGCCTGTTGCCGGTGATTTGTATTCGTGAGTGTAAAGCGGTTTGAAGGAGTCGAAGAAGCCGACATCTTCGGTCAGGTTGGGCAGTATCCACAAGTGATGACGTCCAAGCGTCACCACCCAAACGACAGCCATAATCAGTGCACGCACTGAAGAATGAAAGCAAATTAGATTAGTGTCGCAGCATTCTGAACAACAACGGCACTCACAGACAACAAGGACTATGACGAATCCGACAAATCCCATTGCCAGAACGCTCAGATAATATACACCTAGTCGCACTTGAGGAGGCCATAGTGGGAAAAGGCAAACAGCGATCGATCCAACAACTAAGTACAAACAAATATATTACACAGAACACTCAAAACGACGTTATCAGCGTACCCATCAGCAAGCCCAGCACAAACGTCTTCACTGGTGTCGGATCGTATTTCCAAACGTAAACCTACAATAAGCATTATATATTAGGGCAGCGTTAAGGCACGTTTGTGTTCTCACGTCATTGCCATCGATAAACACTTGCTCCGGGTGAAATTCGAGTCTGATTTTTTTCGATTTCTTAGTCGTTTCTTTTGGAACCTCCTCCTGAAAATCATCTTATCCCGTCAAGCATCAGAAATGTTACTGAAATCGTACCACGTTGTTTTCAGCAACTTTTTCACCAACTTCCCCAACAGTATCGCCATGCGTCGTTTTTCCATCGCCGTGGTCACTTTTTTTCACAAGGGAAGGTGACGAATCCGGATGCGGTGCCTGTGCCTTCCGTTCCTGCCGAGTATCTTTTCCATCGACCCGCTCTTTGCGTTTAGGGATAAGTTTCTTTGCGCGAAAAATCAAATCTTTTTCTATAAGGCTAAAGAAACGACGAAGTTTATCACATGACATCACTTCGCTGAGGAATGCAATACAAAATACACTAGTAATAAAAGAAATCAGGAGATAGACAAAACTTAAACGAAAACAATCCAACATACGTCTGATAAAGAAATGCAAATTAAATACATCAGGACAAATATTCTTCGAAAGGATGACAAAATGCTTTGTTAAAACCGTTGTGGATTAAGGCTGAATAATACTGCCAAAACTAATTCGCCATATTATTGCCCCAGAGGTTCCAAGCCATTTGTGGCGAACGTACAAGATCACATCAGGTTAGCTTTCGCGTGGAAGAGAGCACATCGAACAAATCCTCGATTTACGCCACACCACGGAATACTGCTGTCTTTCCAGCGACCCAGCGTTCACATTTAAGAGCATACGATTTGGTTAATCGACACTCTCTGTGGCACATTACGGAAATGAATGACATTTCTAAAAAGCTTCTGAAACAAATCATGGCATGCTTCAGCAGAACATGAACAAGAATCCGGATCTATACTGAATTGACGGGCTTATTGCCGTTATTTCTAGTGTAAGTCAAGGCTGCCTCTTCTAACCTATTCCATTCAACTTCGTCATTCATCAGACCACGCTAACAGCATTAAAAAATTTCGCCAGCGTCGAAGATAGTCCTGGTGACAATACGTCATCGATCCATGACGAGGCCCAATACACATTTATGTAAATATATGAGGTGACTGCAAAAATTCCACCCTCTTCTGTGCCACTCCCATTGAAGAACTCACACCTTCAAATACTTTAGCGTCTGCATCCTTCTCATTGGTCAGTCTACATACAAAATTACGACTCTGGTGGTAACAGCATTGAGGGCTTTCTACAACAGAGCAAGAAGTTGTGAAAATGATGAGAGATCAGTCTGAATACGAACTACAGAATTCTGCACGCCGCAACTCGCTTCGTCCTCCTTAATGACGTGAGCTGCTCCCTAAGAAGTCAGTACGCAAGAAAACTAGATCTTTCATCTCGCGGACAAAATTTATTAATCACATATCCAAAGAGAAGTCAGCAAGATAGACATTCTGTACCTCCAACCGAATAGATTACAGATCGTCCAAACCTGTGCTCTCACGAGTACAAATAACAAAAAAAAGTCGAGGAATCTTACCAAGAACTAGAACAAACATTCGTCCAAAAGTACGAGCAAACCTTCGTCATGGGAGAGGGCAACGCCAACGTCGAACGATGAAGGGCCGGTAAAAAGTTCGTTGATAGGTAGTGCTGAGGAGATCGGCTGGTGACTATGGCAGAAACGAAACGCCTGTATATTAGCACTACCAATCTCAGAAACAACACCAACAGAAAACAGAGAACGAAGGTCGAGATCGATTTCATCCTCTCGGGTAAGCGAAGCATCATCCCAGACATAACAGTAGTATTATCATTTAACACCGGAAGCGACCATAAACTGGTGTAGGACAGACTTATCTTTAAAAAAAACGAAAGAAAAGCACCGCAGATGGCAAATGGTGCATAACAACAGAAAGTATTCACCGAGACTATACTCCGGTGAAGACTGAAGCTTGAAAGGCAGGAGTGATTACGATTATGAGAAATAAGCCTAGAAACTGAGGAGGTGCGTAAGGTCAGCCGATGTGGTATTCTCGGATAGGAGAGAGTAAAAGGAAGGATCTCAGAAAAATCAGTTTACTGGAAAAGCAAAAGAGGATGAAGGACGACTGGAACGACACAGTGGAATACACTATTCTCTCCAAGCTCAATAAACAGAACCTGAAGGAGGACTTCGAGACCTTTCAATTAAAAAAATTTGAGAATATAGCTGAATACTGCAGAAACCTCAGACAAAACAGGAAAATTAGCGTCTTATTCGATTATTACGGCGCTGAATAGCAGGGATGACGCATTAACTTATAACGGAACTGAGATGTAGTCGATCTGTAAGAACTGTTACACCTAGCTCTTGGCGTCGAAGACACGCGTGTCCCAGCATCACTCGAACAGTCAGAAGGAAGTGCACTTCCGGTAGTTATAATGGAAGTTCGGCATTTTGCGCAGAAAATGAAGAAAGAAACAGTCCCAGGGAGAGAAGGTTCGACAACTGAGATCGCCAGACGGACTTTAGTAGAGAGGTTCCTTTGTACCTGAAAACGGAAAAGATACAAACAAGTTGGAAGGAGTCTAAGAAATTCGAGTTGTAAAAAAAGTCGCCCAGCTTACTGATATCAGTGGATGCAAGTCTGCACGAACTGAAGCCGAGAGAAGAGGCAAGGTTTCGATGGAGCTACCGCATAATGAATAACATCTTTGCTTTCAGTCAACTCCTCGAAAGCAAGAAGGTTTCAGTTCCCACTGTGCATCGCTTTCGTCGACTATGAGAAGGCGCTCGATACCGAGTACAGGGCAGTGTGAAGTGCACTGACACCCGTGAAATCAACCTGCTAAAGGAACTCAACTTTGGCTGCTTCCTAATGATGAAGTCGCTCAAATTTCTTCCAGATTGCTGTAGGGAAGGGCATGAAACATGGGGACGCAATCTGCCCCAAACTCTTCGCTGGTGTTCTGATGGATGAACTGGAATGGTGGGATTAATATAAACGGTGTACAGCCGAGCCACCGCAGGTTCATTGTTGACGTGATGTTGTTTGTGGAAAACGCCAGTCAACTACAAGATGCGCTGCAAGAAATGGAAAGAAACAGTGCAGAAGTATCTGATGCTGCGACAGAATGCCTTACCAAAAGGCAAGGTAATGTTAAACTGCGAAAAGATAGAAGTCAATAAATACATTTACCTGTGCAAAGAATTCAACATGTGCCTTGAAAAATCTATAGGGATTTAATGGACAAACAGATTCAGTTGGCGGCCCATCGAGAACGTCCTCCTCTGAAACAACAGGAAAGAAGCAGACGCCGACGTCTTTAATTTAACATCCTGCCGGCGATACTGTTTGACTATGAGACGTGCTCACCTGCCAAAGCCGAAAAGCGCTAGCCATCTGTCACGTAGAGAGAGAAAGAAGAATGTTGGGAATTTCACGTCTTGGCCACCATCCTCAACTCGGTGATCAGTGAAAGGTCTCGACGATGTCGTCGAAAGCAGGAGAGAGAAGCTACAGTGGACTGGGCAGGAAATGCGGCTCTCTTGAGCTTGATGTCGACTGCTATCGTCACAGGTAGACTAAACCGCTCGTTTGCCCACCACGACGACGGAGGATTACACGAGGAGCCAGGAACATTGCGGTCAGAGGGAGATGACTCGAAGCAAGCGAAGAGGAGTGTTGCGGCCGGAGCGATTTGTCGCCGATTACTGGTCGGTCCCCGTGATATAAGTGAGGTGATATCCAGCACCATAATCCGTATCCATTACAACATAATCCAGCTTTCTACTGTCCTGAAACAAGCGG